GAGCAGTACGGTCGGGGGCGCAACACCAACTGGTTATTCCAGGCCCCAAGGAGGCCAGGCTTACGGCTACTATAGCCAGGGTCTTTTCAGTGGCAGTTTCTTACTGGTGGAATGAGCACCCGGAGGAGCTCAGGGCCCTGCGGGATCTTGTGCAGTTTCGCAGGGCTTGGAAGATGGAGCTCTTCCACCAGGCCTTTAATTAGGAGCCCCCATTACAATCAACTACCACTATTAATATCTGTGGAGTAGGCTGGCTGTTGTTGAGATCGAGCCAAACCGCCTTGAAGAACAGGAGCCTGTATCTGCTTTGAGCCTGCATTATATGGCACACCACCTTGCTTAATAATCACTGTGTGCACTTTGACTTGAAATTGTTGATTGTTTTAGATGTTTTAAATGTGTTAAATGTGTATATGAATCCCGGCACACTGTGCCAAGCAATGTGAGCCGTCCTGAGCCCACTTGCGAGGAGGGCGGGTTATAAATGCAACAAACAAACAAATAAATAAATGTGTGAGGCTGTGTTTCATAAGGATTAATTGTGCCCTCAGTGGCTGGGAGAGGGGGACTGCATTTTTTTGTGTTTGATACGCTTTAAATAAAGCTAATGTTAATTTTTAAACTTTCTACTACTAAAAGGGATGGCAGATTGCTCTGATCACCTCAGGATTTGAATCCGGAAGGAAAACACCACTGAAATGTTTGAAAAACAGTGCTTATAAGTAGCAAAGATAATTTATCCCAAAAAAACCATACAGTGAAAGCAATATTTAGAATTCAACTTTAATGGACTACCATGTACTATTCCTGTAATTTGATCTGTATGCTGAAAAGAAACAGTTGCTTCAATATGAAATCCTTTTTTAGACATGGAGAAAACAGCAAACGTTTTTAAACATTCTCATCACTTTGTCACAACAGATCCTAAATTGAAAAGTGCCAAAGACTGACAGGAAAACAAAGATTATTGCAGTGGTACCACAGAAATTATATTTTAAAATAAGACTCCATATCTTTTGCTAAGCAACAATAAATTAACTACACTGCACATTATACATTAGCGCAAATCTAATGTTTAAGCAGATCACCTGCTATAATCCGATAGCCATTTATATACATTTCTAAGAAGTCCTTCTCAACTGTTATTATTAATCAGCTGGTGATTGATAAAATTTCAAATGCACAATCAGAATTCTTTGAGACTGATTTTGGGACACACGTTCCTCTCATAAGAAACTGTTTTTTTGGGGGGTATAATAGAATGATTCCTACCTGAAAAAAATTGTGACCTTCTTTTACCTAGAAAATCAAAAGGACAAGAAACTAACAGCAAGTTGAACAGGCCAAATAATGAACAGGTCTTGGGCCAAGGTTAGTGGGGAAAGAAGAGCAGCCAGACAACTGGCAAGGTATTATGGCTTTATAGAAGGTCATGGGTTACTAAATCTGATTTTTCAAAAGCTACCATCTCCAGATTTATGTACACAGCTGAGCGTGAAAGGGAGAATGATGAAGATGGATAACTGAGTCTGAAGTGAATCTTTGTTTTTAGAGCCCTTAAACGTCCATTGTTTCTAGGACATATGATAGCATCAGCCTAGGCAGAGGCAGGCCTGTGTTACTAGCACTCTGATAATCAATTTGTGGACCCAACATTTGCCATGAAAACCAGTCTTGGCTCCAATGAACAGCAAACGGCTTCAGACAGAAAACAAGATTGTAGGACTAAATGTGGACCCTGTACAGCGGGTTATGTAATGAATAAACAATCATTTGCATAGAACATGCACAGACATTTTTCTTCGGTTTGGGAAGTGAAAGCTTAGAACAACCCACCATTTAAAAAGAATGAGCTGTGATGGAATTTTTGCTACTTCAGTGGAGATTCTAACAAAGCTGTGAAATTGGAGCTCAACCAAGAAGAACAGGAATTGCTATTTTTGTATGCAGGAAATCCCAAAAGGTATGTATAGAATGATGACCAGAGCTCAAGGTAAGCAGAAACTATCATAAGAGATGGTAGAGGATTGGGAGAGATTATGACTAAACAAAAGAGAGCACAAACAAAAAAATTGCAGCCAAGGACACAATCCATCATGGTACCTAGATTTTTGTTAATTATTTTCAAGTCAGAGCTGTCCAGCTGACAAAACTGTGCCAGTTCCAGAGGCAATATATACAAAAAATTTCTCTCTCAATACAAGCGAAACCATTGAAGCAAGCTGAACTTAAATTTTGGTTTGGCTTTTCCCTTGCCTTGGTTTTTCACCCACATTAATTTGTTAAAATACTATTTGAGCCTCGCATGAATTACTGCTTTGATCA